TTTTAAAATGTAATATTCAAATCTTGACCTCGACAAAGAGAGCTCTCTTTTAGTGTATTTTAATATTTACTTGAGAGCTGTCTTCATGAACACACCAAATAGAGAAGAATTTATCACATGTAAGTTTAAAGCCTTTAATATTATTTCATATTTGTGGTAGATAGGTGATGTGTAATGTACATTTGTGTATTCAAAAAAGAAAAAAAAAACTGGTATTGGGTCATTTTGTATTCATTTGTGTTCTAGCTTCAGTTTAGCTCATCCAGTCAATTTCTAGCTTGCTGTTAGTACTTTGTTTCTTAATTTCTTTGTGTCATCTTCCCCTGTATTAAAGTTGTTGTTTATTGAGTGTTATTGGTCATGTTTCTTGCCTGCCTGGTTAATGTTGTCAAGTTTGTGTCACGCCTGCGTCTTGTCATGTTTTCCTGTTTATTTTGAAAGTCCAGTTTTCATGTCTTTATGTTTTGGTTTACAGTTCCTGTACAGCATTATGTTCATCCTAGTCAGCTGTATCCTCATGTGTCTCTACCTCCCCTGATCACCTCATTTTTATTTAAGTCCTTTGTCTCTTACTGTTCTTTGTCAGATCGTCTGTTATCCTCACCACAGATTTCATAGTTTTCCCTCATTGTTTCACTGTGTTTCATAGCATTCCTAGTTACTCTGTGTTCATAGTTTTTCATAGTTCTTTCACAGAGTGTCATAGTCTTTTAGTTTACACAGTGTTCTTAGTCCCCTTAGTTTTCCCAGTTCCAATGTGTCTCTAGAGTGTTTCTCATGCCATCAGCCACAGTAAAGGCTGGCTTTATTTTTTGGAAACTTAGTTCTGTCTCCACCATGTCTGCTTTTGGGTGTACCTCATCTACACACCGTGAAAAGATTTCAAGATGAGTAACATAAATGGTTTAATCAGCCTGTTCATGAGCTGCTGTATTATTAAAAAAAATTAGTCTATTCTGGTTTATAATCATTCACATTTATTTCATATTTCCTACCATCTTGTCTTGATCCATCTTTTCCTTCCTGACATAAAGGTGCATCAAAGAAGTTCTGTTCAAATATTTGTTTCCTTGAGCAATAAAACATCACTTTCATCTGTCAGATCAAAGATGCAGTGGAGTCTGTATCTGCTTATTCTGATGGGTAAGTGGATTGTTTTACCAAATATACTGTATTAAATTTAAAATGAACACAGATTAATGTTGATTTATTAAACATTTGCAATATTTTACCAGAATATTCACTGAATATAGATCATTGTTTGTCTGATCAAGATTTTTCTATCATCTGATTTTTGTATTATTTTAGGTCAGTGTTGCTTCTTTACATGCCGCCTGTATGAGTACCACTTTATTGAAGAAAACAAGAGCTGGTATGAAGCACAGAGATACTGCAGAGAGAAATATACAGACCTGGCCAAAGTGTTTGACATGACAGACATGAGCAGACTCCGTAACTCCGCACAGAATCAAGGAGAAGCCTGGATTGGACTGAACAATGCAGGTGGAAACAGGATGTGGCATTGGTCTCTGCCAGGAGTGAAATACATTCAAAATGACAGCAGCTGGAATCAGAGTGGAAGAGCTGATAGTGAGGCTTATGGAAACTGTGTGAGGAAAAGAGACAAGCTGGCAGATGTTTCATGCAACCATCCTACATGGTTCATCTGCTATGATGGTGAGGAGATGTGAATAATATTATTATTATAATATCATCATATAAAAATATAATGTAATGACATAGTGGGGATTTTAGAAAAATACAGTTTCAGGAGACAAATTATTGAGGGATGTCTTCTTGTGCTTTTGTGTTTGTTGCACAGAAATGAAGAAAGACAATAAAACATATTATTTGATTGAAGAATTAAAGAACTGGACACAGGCTCAGAGCTACTGCAGATCCCATTACACTGACTTGGCCAGTGGACTCGATCAGGTAGATGGAGAAGAACTCACGATGATGAAGAAAAAGAGAGACCCGAGTAATGCATGGATCGGTCTGTTCAAAGACAGCTGGAGGTGGTCAGATGGGAATGATTCCTCTTTCAGATACTGGGATATGCAGTTATTCAATGATAAACAAAGCAGCAAGACATGTGCTATGACTCTGTTAAACAGATCAGGAAAATGGAGCTCTGATGAATGTGGCAAAGAAAAACCTTTCTTCTGTTATGATGGTGAGTTTGTACAAATGTTTTTCTCTGTTTTCCAAAATTAAATCCCAATGTCATTACTAGGGATGGGTATTGTTTAGGTTTTATCCGATACCAGTACCAAACCGGTACTTTTGAAACGATGCCGGTGCTTAAACGGTGCTCGAACCGGTGCTTAAAGAATGGAGAACACACACTTTGTCCAAAAACCTCTCATGTTCAGCTGTTTTTTTTGTAAAAAAGATAACAATGTTAGCCTTTTCTAGAAAAGGCTAACATTGTTTTTCTAGAAATTTTTCTTGTTGTTTGTTGTTGTTTCATTGTTTTTCTAGAAAAGAAAACTTTTCTAGAAAATTTTCAGGAAGATCTGTATAAGTGTAAACCTGGTCATCTATAATTTCCTTCTGCAGTTAACTTTTCTCATTTTAATTTTGGAATAAATTGAAAATGAAAGGAAAATAACTGAAACTGAACTTTAACTTCTCTTTTTAGCTATTACAGATAAATTGATCCTGATCAAAGAAAACAAGACCTGGGAAGAAGCCTTGAATTACTGTGAAAACAACTACAAGGGGCTGGTTTCTATCACCAACCCTGAGGTGCAGGGACGGGTCCAGGAAAAAGCCAAGAATGCTGACAGTCCCTATGTTTGGATCGGACTGAGCTACAAATGCACTCTGGGATTATGGTTGTGGGTCAGTGACTACGTAGTCTGCTATGACAAGTGGGCCACAGAGGGGAAGACTGAAGGGTGTGACATGTCTGTAGGCGTGGACAGAGGAGGACAGCATGAGTGGTTCAGTCGCAGGAATAATGAGACGTATAATTTCATTTGTTCCAAACAGTAAGTTTTAAACTTTCTGATTTCTTATAAACCTAAAAATATCTATTCAAACAGTGAAATAGTAGGATCATTTAATGAAATCAATTTAAATTTGATCCTAATATAACTAATCTACACTATGCTAAGTTATTTAGACCATCAGAGGGAGGAATGCCCACAAATGTAATGATGTAAACATTAAACCTTGACTAATGTCAAGTTCAGTCACAATGGTTACAGGGGGATCCTGTGTGTCACTTTGAAATGATTGTGAAGAATAAAAGCTATTTGTGTTTTATTATTATATAATCATAAATCAAAAATTTGCTTCATCTCTAAAACCAGGTAAAATAAAAATTACTGTCTAGTTATGCAGTCTTTTTTTTACTATTGTAAACAGAACAATACTGACATTTTTTAAATTTAAAAACAAATTAATTTCCCCATTCATGTTTTGTTGTGCTGTTCGAACATTTGCATGTTTCTGACAAAGGCTGCCATCAAGGAGATGATCGAGTTTAATGTACAATCTTAAAGACTGTTAGATTTTCTCTACGTTTGTATTGTTGCTGAACTTTGGATTGTGGTTGTGTTTTCTGGGTCGTTGATATTTAGCTTCCAGTTATTTCCATTTTATTTTGTTTTATTTTTTTATTAAATGATACAAATTTATTTGAGATGATTTTATGTCTTTAATTCTGAGCTTCTGTTCCAAAGATCTTTAGATTCATTCTGTGTTTTGTAGGTTTATGACGTCCTCGTGGTTTTAGGTTTCTTGTGCTCCATTCTGTTCTTTCAGTCTCAAGTTTGTCTTCTGTCTCTGTCAACTTCATATCTTTGAGTCTTGGTCTCAGTTTTAGTTATTTCCTGTTTTATTTTGATATTCTGTTGTGACTCGTGTTTTGTGTTTAGTTCTACTTCCGCTGTCTCATCCTGTGTCATTAGTTTTAGCTGTCCTGACCTGTTTCCTCTCCCCTCATTATCTGCTGTGTATTATTGTCTCAGTCTCTGCTTGTCCTTTTGTGGTTGTTTTGGAAGAGTTATTGTTTTGGATTCTTTGTGGCTGATCTGTGGTGATTTTGTATCTTATGAAAACTTATCATTAAAGATGCTTAAGTTTATATCAGTCTCCCGAGTCCTGCATTTGGGTCCACATCCTGTCTGCCCACACAGTTTTGACAAAGTCACAGAATCCAGTATACTGCTGATTGATGTATAGCTGCGTTAATTACTTGCCTGCAGGTGGCTGCAAGGAGTGACTGATGACTATTAAGGCCTTTCAGCATGAAATAGTGCATATATAAATGTATATAAATATAAATGTTTTCTGTAATTTGTTGAATAATTGTGTGAGTCAGTGTATAAAATAAGTAAAATGTTAAATACCTGCTAGACTGAAAAAAAGTCTGCTCTGATGATAACCAGGGTGCAAAGGAATGATCAGGAAAGCAAAATAAATCTGTGGTTTTGTATTAACTGTGAGTGCTGAATGTGGTGTAATAATGTGAGACTGCACAGTTTATCTGAAAACTATTGATGACAAAGTGAATTTTACTTATTTACAGAAGACCTTTGGGTAGAGCAGGACAAAGAACGAGTAAGAAGGTTCCTCACATCCCAGACATGAATTGCTCATATCTCCTCTGTCAAGTGCCCACTCATCTTTAGATATTCAATCTCTGTGTTTACATAAAATCCATGTTATCTAGTCAGGCCCTATGATCCTCTCCATCTCCAACCATTGTCTTGATCCTGGTGAGTAGCTGAAAAATTTCACCAGCTTCCTTAGTCGCCTTGGTATCCGCCCCTGGGCAGGGCCGTCAGATCTTCAGTAGCTCCACTTGCTTGGAGGTGATTTGAGGTAATCAGGCTGGAGAGATTTAAGCCCTATGCTGACGTTCCTCCTCGGCCAGTTTGTCAACTACTTTATTTTTGTAGCCAGCTTTAATGTTCAATGTTCTGTTTGCCAAGTCCCACTTTTGCCTCCAAATTAAGCTCATGTTTTGGACCTTGAATAAGCTACCTTTCCTCTGAAAATCTCTCCATGCCTCACCTGCCTGCCCTTCTTCCATCACACTCCCTATGGAAATCAAGTCAGCCAACTCACACTGTCTAACTCACCTGGACTCACGCCGCCTCTCCCTCCAAGCATCTTTCACTCCGCCTGCGAGTAAGCTTGAAATACAACTGTGATCACCTTCTCTAGGGCTCATTTTTTGTCCCTATTCAAACACTGCTCAACTCTCTCCTCAGTGTGATCACTGAACGTAACCAGCCACGCTCCAGTTACTCTTCCAAGCCCAATTTTCCCCACTCAGCCCCCACGACCACGTTAACATGCTACGCCAAGCCCCTGTTACATTCTGAGCTTTGTTGTGTTCAGTTACAGACAAATATTGACTTGTGCTAGTACAATAAACACATTGTTAAAACTTTCTCGCCACCTCTGCTCTGGGTTTCTGCATTTGGGTTCAGTTTTGGTACCGGCCTTCTGCCCCTGTGACAACCATTTGCCCACTTTTAATTAAGTCAAAGGTTTTTTCATTTTATGTATTCATTTAATGTTAGTTTACAATCGCATTTTTACTATATCATACACTTTAAAATTCAGACAGTCAGAGATGAGTGTGTCCTGTGCTGTCAGTCACACAAACACACATACACTTATATATATATATATAT